CACTCTCTTAATGAGTCTGGCTCATTATCCATATGAACATGCAAATAAAAATGAATAATCAAAATACATAAGGGATGAGTGTACCATTGGGCAGGGACTCAAACAGAGGTGGGCGTACCGTAGTGGTAGTGACCCAAAAAGATAGGCATGCCATGGTGACAGGGGCCCGAAGAGGTGTGCCGATAGGGCAGTGACTTTTAAAGGGGAGGCGTGCCATGGCAGCAGGGGCCCCAAGAGAATGTGCAATTCAAACATATGACCATAATTATACAAACATACGGATGTGAGACGAGATGCAATAATGCAATCATATATATGCACTACAATATGCAAAAATGCAAACACACATGCAAGACAATATGTTGGTGCAAGTAGTTGGTCAACCAGATCAAGGCATCCGATCGAGCTAAAGTGTCACGCCAACCGGCTCAGGAGAGTTGACTGAGGTGAAGTGAAATGCTCGTCAGGCAGAGCGAAGTGAAATGCTCGTCGAGCCGAGGCAACTGGACAAAGTGAAGTGAAATGCTCATTGGGCCAGGGTGGCTAGATGGAGCGAATTGAAAAGCTCGCCAAGCTGGGGCAGCCGGTCAGAGCGAAGTGAAACGATCGCCGAGCTGGGGTGGCCGGTAGAGGCGAAGTGAAAAGCTCACCGGGCCGGGGCGGCCGGTTGAGGCAAAGTGAAAAGCTCGCTAGGCGGGGGTGACCGATCGGAGCGAAGTGAAAAGCTTGCTGGATTGGGGCAGCCGATCAGAACGAAGTGAAAAGCTCGCCAGACTGGGGCGGTCAGACAGAGTGAAGTGAAAAGCTCGCTGGGATGGGGCGACTAGATGGAGCGAAGTGAAATGCTACTTGAAATGCAAAATGCAACATGCAAACATTAACATATAATAGGGAGCCATCCCCGTGCTAACAATCTCACCGGGAAAGCTAGGGTCAACATATAGAAAAATGACGATTGCCGCCTTTGCTTTGGAGAAGCAGGTGGGGAACTTCTCCCCGAATCTCAAACGGGGAAGTTCTCCGCCTTGTCATGAAATGAACTAGTAACGATGCTTTTCCAAATTTTACGACACCTCTGGGCTTTATGAAATGAGCTAATGACACACGTTTTCTCATTTCACAAAGGTCTGCTATTCAATCTTTCTAACAAGAACAGAGCAAATAAAGCAAAGGGGAGTGAAAGGGGCTCCAACCCTTAGAATTTTTTTTGTGTTAAGGCTAGCAGTCAAATAGGATTTGCTCGGCTATCGTATGGGACTTGGTCGCGTAAAGAGAATCCTAACCTAAAGACCACCTCCAGGAAAACAAGCGATCCATCATACAGATGCGTCATCGCTCCGGCACTTGCCGACGCACGCACCTCGTGTGGGCAATCAATCCTGCACGCCTAATGCCACTACAACATAGGGCTAGCTAGGAAGTAAAGTACAAAGGAGAGGAGGAATTATACCATCGCGTGGTTTGCACGAAGGCCAATGAAGTCTGGGAACTCTTTTGCACGCGGTCTGAGACTCTTGCACCTCTCCGAACAACGACGAGGTTTGGTGTCCAACAATGTCGGGATGCTCCGGTGAGGCGTTTGGTTGCCAAAAAAGAGAGCCAATAAGGTTGCGGTGGTGGAACGCCAATAGCACACAACCAAAACGAGAAAAGCAAGGAAGAACACAAAAACTTGGGCTCTCTTCGCTGTTATGCTCCGGCAGAAATATGACACTGAAGAAGCGACTACCGGTGAGGTGAAAGAGATCCGACAAGGGTGGCTCGCCTTAAAGAGAAGACAATAAAAGAAATGATGGCAGAGATCGGTGGTTCCGGCAAAGAAGCTCGGCTGGAGATGTCAGAGGAAGTCGGCAGAGGCTCGCTGGCCAGAAAAGAGGCATCGAGCTGTCTCGTTCGTGAATAGAGGACCAGTCGACTGGCTGTTTCTAGCAAAACAAGAGGAAAAGGTTGGCGACCGACGAAGCAGGGCAAGCTGTGAGCTACGCCGGCGAGGAGGGAGCTCCGGCGGTGAGGTCGACGACAAAGAAGGAGGAGATGGGGGGGTCCGAAGGCTGCGACTTCGCCGATGAGGCTCGCGGCTGGATTCACGACCTAGGGCTTGGAGCCAAAGAGCCGTGGTTTTTTATATCCTTACATATATATATATATATATATATATATATTGGTTTAAGAAGATACTATTGTCTCGTTACATGTTAGACTAATGAGGAGATTACAAAAGGAAAATCAGCTGGAGAACATGTTGATTCAATACAGGAATCATCAGTCCTCCCAAAAAAATACCAAAAAACAACAATTTACCTATTTAAGGCAGCAAAATCAAGTTCAATAAAAACCCCCAAACAACATGGGGGGAACAACACAATAAAAGAGGGGAAGTGGAACATCAAATGAAGCAAAGCAGTCTCCATTAATCTTGATTAGCAATTCTGAAATGTTGAACATCTATCATGTCTCCCTGCAATAAAACCTGAATGGTGTAGGGAGGGGTAACAACAACAAAGAAGTCCTTTGAGTTATAACCTTGTTTAGTTAGCCAATTTGCAGGCTGGTTTCCCTTCCTATAAATGAAAGTGTAGTGCACCTTGAGCTGTGAGGTTAGCTCTCTGATTTTTTTGATCCAATAAGTAAGATGCCAGGGTACATTCTCCTCATACTTCAGCATATTGATTACAACTATAGAATCCACTTCTAACCATAAATTATACCAACTAGACATTTTGGCATTCTTTAGGGCCCAATAATTAACAACAAGTTCAGTTTCAAGTGCATCAATAGCCAAAACAGGAATATAAAAGTGTAGTAAGCATTTTCCCAAGTGATTTCTGTAGACACCCCCCACACCTACTCCTGACTTATTGAAGCTTCCATCTATATTTATCCTAACAATATTATGATCTAGAGGTTTCCAGCAAACCCTGTAGACATGAATCTGGTCAGGCTGTCCCAATGAGTAAGAGTTGGAAATGTTAAGGAATCTTTTGAGTTTAATCATCTTGTGTACATATGAACAGCTGTTTCTAACAATCTTTTTAGTTTTTGGTATACCATCTTCAAACTTAGCCTTGTTTCTTTCCATCCATATAAACCATGCAACAATGAGGGGTATAGAAGCATAATTCCTCTTATGCCATGTCTGCCAGCAGGTGGTAAGATTGTCCCAAGTAAAGAGTTTTTTTATCTATATTCAGGTGTGACAGCAGTTGGTGCCATACAACTTGAACAAAGTTGCATTCAAAAAGAGATGAGGCAGTGATTCCTCCTCATGTAGACAAAGCCTGCATTTAGAAGGACCCCTTAATCCTTTTAGTTTAAGGATATCATCAGTAGGAAGTAGTTTATGAAATGCCCTCCAATAGAAAAAGGACATGGAAAGGGATAGAAAATTGTTCCAAATGATAGTGCTCCAGGATAGGTGCTCCCATTGAAAGACTTTAGAGTAGATAGCTTTGGTAAGACTTTGATTGGAGAATGACTGCCAAACAATTTTATCAGGCTTGCTTCTGTCAATTTTAATGCTGGCAATTTTTGTGACTTAGTTGGCTTGGAGAATATTTGACAAATTAAGTAAAGACCAGTCTTCATCTACCCAGCAGTCAGCAACCTTGAGATTAGTGTTAGGGACACTACAAATAGGAGACAACCAATCTTTAGGGCACCAATTATCAAGCCAAAAATTTATATCCCTTTTCCCAAATCCCAAATAAAAAGATTTTCAGCAGTTTGTCTTATATTCAACATCTTCCCCCAGATTTTGGAATCCCCAGTTTTCCTTTCAACAAGTGTGGGATACTGGTCTCTACAATATTTGCCCCTCATGAAATTAGCCCACAAAGAAGTTTGGGCTCTAAATTTAATCCATAGCTTACATAATTTGATTTGAAAGAGTTGGTTAATTCCCTTGAAGCCAATGCCCCCAGCCAGCTGGGGTTTAACCACTTTTTGCCAAGAAGCCCAATGCATTTGCTGCCTCTGACCAGACCACGTGAACCTGTTAAATGTTCTTTCTAGTTGGATTTTGGGTGATTTTCTTTATATTTGCCATCTGCAAGATATAAGAGGGAAAATTAGTTAGAATGCTTTTCAGCAGTGTAATTCTGCCCCCATTAGCTAGAAAAGATTGGGTCCACCCATTAAGATAAGAAGTAATCTTATTTATGACTTCCTCAAATTGTATTTGTCTGGTTCTTCCAGTGAGTAGCATGACACCTAAGTACTGGAGAGGAAGCTGGGAGTTGGAGAAGCCTGTATAACTAGAAGCCCATTGTTTGCAATTTGGAGATGCTTGTTCATTAAAAATCAGGAGGCACTTCTCAAAACTGAAACATATTCCAAAGTGTGTTTGAAACTTTTGAAGAGTTTGATACACTTTCCTTACAACATTCTTGTGAGCTCTTGAGAATACCATGATGTCATCAGCATAGAGTAAGTGAGTGATGGCTATGTTGGATCTATGGTAGTAAATAGTGTAGTTTTGGCTTAGCAGAGATTCATCCAGAATTCTAGATAAATAATCAATAACAATGATAAAAATGGTGGGGGATAAGGGATCCCCTTGCTTCAAACCTTTGGTTGCAGTGAAAGACCCCCAACCTTTCCCATTTATGAGAATAGAATGATTGTTATTGTGTAGCCATATGTGAATAAGTTGACAAAATTCTATGTTGAACCCTCTTGCTGTGAGAACTTTCATAATGAATCCCCAACTGATAGTATCATAAGCCATTTTCAAATCTAGTTTGTAGATCAAATTACCACCTCTACAGGTCTTATTCAGATCATGTAGTAGTTCCTGTGCCAAAAGAGTGTTGTCAATAATAGATCTCCCCTTCACAAAAGCAGTCTGATTGGGTCTAATGATATGTTCAAGATGGGGCTGAAGCCTATTGACAATGATTTTGCTGATTAATTTACTGATGACAGTGGCTAGAAAAATTGGTCTGAAGTGATTCCAGTTGGTTTGCATCTCAGATTTGGGGATCAACACAAAAGTAGAGGCACTAAAGTAATGTGGGAGATTGTTTCCTTGGAAAAAAATTAGCCACAACAGCTATAACCTCCGGCTTAATAATGTCCCAAGATTTTTTATAGAACTCAGCAGTGAATCTATGAGGGCCAGTTGCTTTGTTTATATCAATAGAATTCATAGCCTCCCAAATCTCCTCTTCATCACGAATTTCAGTAAGTTTTAGATTAGTTGTGTAATTAAGCTCAGCAGAGAAATAATTTGGATCAATAGGGATTATGTGATTATGTTCTTGATTCAAAAGGTTTTTGAAATAGCATACAACATCATTTGCTATTTCAACATTCTCATGTAGCCATTTCCCCTCAGTATTTTCAATAGCATGTATTGTATTGCATTTCCTTTTGTATTTGATGTAAGCATGGTAAAATTTGGTGTTTCTGTCCCCTTCAGTGAAGATGTTCATAGCAGCTTTTTGCTTAAGAATTTGGTCATGATAATCAATAACAGTAAGAAGTTTGTTTTGGACAGTTAGTAGTTCCTTTTCCTCAACTATTCCTTCATGTTCATCTTGCTCCAATCTTATAACTTCCTCTTCTAGCTCTTGAACTTTAGTAAGGACATTTCCAAATGCCCCCCAACTCCATTTCCTAAGGGCATTGACAGTTTTAATTTGCAGTAAATTGAGTTTAATGAAGGGGTTAGTATGTGAAATACCATTCCAAAGGTTAGCAATGTAGGAGTTGTAAGAAGGGTGGGAAGACCACATGTGGGAAAAGACCACATGTTTAGATATCTAAAAGGGGGAGGGGAGGATGTATTGTCTAAGGAGGTGATGCTAATAAGGATTGGTCTGTGGTCAGAACCAGCAAGGCTGAGATGAGTGACAAATGTGAGAAGTAAATGGTTATACCAGCTATCATTGACCAAGACTTTATCAAGTCTTTCCCAAATTTTACGCCTCTTCCAAGTAAATGCAGGTCCCTTGAAACCCAAATCAAACAAACCACCACTGTGAATGTTATCATTAAAGGTGTTCATTTTGGCTTGGCTAGGAGCTCTACCCCCAGTTTTTTCAGCAAAAGAAGTAATGCAGTTAAAGTCTCCCCCTACAATCCAAGGGGAATCCATCTGCTGGCTGATATTCAACAAGCAATTCCAAAGCACTTTTCTATCATCCTTTGTACAACCTGCATAAATGAAGGTAGCATATCCCAAATGTCCATTGATATTAAACTTGAAATGAACAAATTGTTGATGATTAACAATGATGTTCCATCTGATTTCCTTTCTACATAAAATCCAGATTTTATTATTGGTATTGGAAAAATTATTGAAACCAGGAAACTTTTTGATTAGCTTTTGATAGTTCTTGTGAGCCATAGGTTCAAGAATAACTATGCACCAAAGTTTATATTTATAATTTAAATGTAAAACTCATTTAAGAGAGAGGGGTTTGGCTATTCCCCTAATATTCCAGTAAAGGATATTAATCATTTGATGGGTGAATTTGGAGGGATTGCTGTGATCTTGATTTGGTTCTACCTCTGTGATGATTGGGAGAACCAAACTTTATTCTGGTTTTACTCTCTGCCTGCATTAAGCTGACTCCTTGTTGTAATTTCTGCACTTCTGTTACTTGTTTGCTTTTTCTTTTGGCTGTTTGAACCTGCCAATCTTCTTCAATTGCTTGTTTAAGACCAGTGATTACATGTTCCTTAGGAGCCTTGCCATGAGTGTCTGTCTGACTTTCCTCTTGAAGGGGAGGTGAAGGAGTGATCATTATAATTTCATTAATTTCCTTTCTTACTGTTTTGATTGAAGAGTTCACTGTGATTCTGTTTGGAGGGGAATCTGATAGCTCACCTAAAGGATCAGCTGATGAAGAGTTTACAATGATTGTTGGGAGTGATCCCTCAGTCCTTTGAGTGGTTTCTTTCCTATTGTTCAGATGTGTTTCTTTAGCAATGTTCCCAATGACTTTCAATGAGGTATTTCCTGTTTCCCTACGGGCCCTACCAGTATTTCTTTTAGGGGGTAGATGTAATCTGTAGCACTTTTCCACTGTATGGCCAAACATTTTGCAATGCTGACAATAGTAGGGTTTTTGTTCAGGGACAATATCTTGCCAAAATCCTTCAGTGTCTGAGCCAATCCATATTTGCTTCAGCTCAGGGAGGGTAATATCTCTCTCCACTTGTATTCTAGCCAGTGCTGGCCTAGCTTTATTATCTGTAGGGGCATCCACTTTCAAAGGTGTGCCCAAAGCTCTTCCTATGTTGAATAAGGCATTCAACTTGAAGAAAGGAAGTGGAAGGCCTGACAACTTATACCAAAGAGGAACCACAGGTGGCTCTTTACTTGGATCAAAGTCAGGAGTCCACTTTACAATCTTCATGGTAGCTCCATCTATAATTACTGATTGCTTGACAAAGAGTCTGTCGTAATCTTCCTCCACAACTAACTGGATCAGAAGGTGCCTCCCATCCATTAGCCCTATCTTCCAATTTCTAATAAATTTTAGAGATTCAAGAAAATTTCTAACCAGCTCCATTTTGGGGTGGCCCAACTAAAATTTTCCCACTAAGGTAAATCTTACTTCCTCTTTAAGAGAGGTTAAATCTCTGTTTGTGAAGAACACTGTAGTTTCCCCCTCCTTAGATCCAAGTGGGTGAATGCAAGGACTACATCCTTTCCCTAAAATCTGGCTGCAGCAATCGTAAGCCATTTCAATCAGTAAAGTTGATATAAAGAGAGTCACATGTCACCAAAAAAAAAAAAAGAAAGAGAGAGAGTGTGTGTGTGCGCGTCAAAATGGCCCCAAATTTTTTATTAAGTGTTAAAATACTCCCACAGTTAAAATTAAAGTAAAAATTAACAAAGGAACAATAGAACAGAAGGAAATTTTGGAGTTCAATATTTTTTGATATTTATCAAATTGTTCGAGTGATAGCCATGAGAACTATAAGATGCGGTTAGGGCGAAGGCGCAAGCGCCGACGCAAGAGCACACATGTACGCACGCACCCACCCACCTACATACACGTGCGCACACACGCACAATAAATTTGTTCATAGGAAGCAATTCTAAATATAGATATCTTGTAATAACCAAAATATATATTTTACTCTTTCAAAAAAATAATAAAATCAACATATAAATTCCAAATTATACATCTTATCACAAAAAATAAAATTCATGAATCTCCTTATAATGGAATTAAAAAAAACTTAGTAATAGATTTACTGAAAAATCAAAATATATATATCAATTTCAAATATACTCCTATTTTTAACACCCAAAATATCATTTTTTGTTAGTTTAGATGGGAGGACTATTTCAATACCTCTCTCTCTCTCTCTCTCTCTCTCTCTTTATATATATATATATATATATATATATAAAACATAATATAATATATTATATTATAATAATAATTATTATATAATTATTGTTGGCATATTCTTCACTCGTACACATCCTCACAGCGAGGCGGGTGTCCTTTTTGACTAAAGCCGACGTTCCGGACGCAACTGCACAATCCTTTTCGCCGTTCGGGGTTGTCCGGACCACATTTTTGGACTATCGGGCCAAAAATGATAATTTACATATTTTTTAATTTGTCCGCTATATCGTGGTGTACCAAATGTCCTACTTTGGTGGAATCGACAATTCAGACACACTAACACGGTCTGTTTTGTATTTCAGGGTCGTTTAAGGCCGCTCAGACCACCTTTCTAGCAATCAGACTAAAAAATAATAAATCACGTAGTTTAGGCTTGCCCGCAAAGTCGTAGCAAAATGAAAGTCCTTTTTAAGTAAAATTGACGTTCTAGACGTGATCGCGCAGTCCGTTTCGTTGTCCAGGCTCATCTGAATGAACTCAATAGAGATTAGGCCAATTTGAGCTAATTTTACGCGCGGATGAATAATATTTTTTTGCCCCGATCAAAGTCCTCCGACGTGCCAGATGCCGACCAACCTTTACATAATCGAAAGCGAAAGTCTAGCAAAATGAACCTGACAACGTGCCCCTCAACACACGCCGAAAGGTCTCAGGTGGGGTGTCGAAACTACAGGATGACTACAGACAGGCCATAAGCTATTCCGAGTCATACAGGTGGACACCATACATTCATGACATCAGAAATTGATGCCAACAAGATCGATACCTAAATTTTGATTCTCTCCTCCTGAGATTGATACCTAAAATTCAATTCTCATTTCGGGATCAGTAACTAAATTCTGATTCCTATATTTCGAGGTCGGTACCTAAATTCCGATTCTCTCCTTCTGAGATTGATACCTAAATTTCAATTCTCATTTTGGGTACAGTACCTAAATTCTGATTCCTGTCTTTCGAGGTCAGTACCTAAATTTTGACTCTCTTTTAGGATTGATACCTAAATTTCAATTCTCATTTCGGGATCAGTTCCTAAATTCTGATTCCTATCTTTCGGGATCAGTACCTAAATTCTAATTCCCTCCCTTTGAGGTCGGTACCTAAATTCTGACTCTCCTTTTTTTGGAATTGATACCTAAATTTCAATTCTCATTTTGGAGTTAGCTCCTCAATATTGGTTCCCTCCTCCAAAAACACCCAAAACTTGATAATTTGAAACCAACTCTCCAATCTCCAGTGAGGATTCCTAATCCTTGATTTCAATCAGATATTCACCTGCTAATTCCCCAGTGAAATTAACTAGCACTCGATTCTACACTCCTTTCTAGGTCTGTTGACTTAGGAGTCTGTGTTGGTTTTGTTGATCTCATTGTCAACGCCAATATGCACGGTGTATATGCCCAGCACACCGCACCTATTGGGGGTCCATTTGTTGACCTCACTTTTGGTTGAGATTTAGTTTTTCTTCTTTAATAGCCTAATGTCCAGCCATAGGGCTTTCCTGTTGACTATTCCTAAAGGACTAGAAAAGGAACCCTCACCATTAGAAACTCTAAACTCCTTTTTGCTGAACTTGAAGTTCAACATATTAGTCCTAACCTGTAGCACTTAGTAGGTGGGGTCAGTATGGAGGATCTCTAAGAGAGTCCCCATAGGACTTCTTAACCTTAGGGCTGACCCTGGGTGTTGGTTTGGAGTTAGTTCACTCACTTACACTCACTATCACCTACACCTATACCCCTATACCCACTTGCAACCCTAAACCCAAAATTGTTGACTTTGATCCCATGACCTTTTGGGAGACTCATGTAGATGGTCCCCTCGACCCACTATCCCTAGGCTAGGGTTTAGCTAAGACCAGTACATGGAGGAACCAAATGGGGATTTTATTGGTCCATATCTCATGCATGGTGGTTGACACCCCAATTCTACCAAATATCGAACTTGGCCTTCTGCCCCTAAATCCACCCAAATTACCTAAATGCCCTTGAAACCTTAATTTGGCCGAAATTCCCAATTTCACCCAAAACACCCAAATTTGTTCAAAAATTATTTCAAATCATTTGAAAATACCCAAATTACCCAAAACCACCCAAAATTGCTAAAATTACCAAAATACCCCCAAATTTGCCAAAATTACAAAATTACCCTTGACACCCCAAACTTTCCTAAAACATCCAAAATAACTTCAAATGTCTCCAAAACCAATTTGGTCCCTTCAATTGAGCCCAACTTGGCCAATTTGACTATTTTGACTAAAATCCCCAAATTGCCTTTAAAGGCCCAATTCCCCAAACTCACCTCAAATGTCCATCAATTTGGCCCCAATCCTTCCCAATTTTAATTATAAACTCAAATTAATCTTTCACATGATCAATCCAAATCAAATCCAAGCCTAATTGACCGATGCTTTGAGCTCAATTTTGATCCAAGTCAAACCTACAATTTTGACCATTCGACTTAACCCCAAAAAATTGAACCCTATAACCTACTCAAATTGCCCCAATTTGAATCATAAGCCATTTATAACAATCCTAAACATCAAATTGGACCTTCAATTGGCCTTAGTCAAGCCTCAATTTCACCCAATTGCAGCCCACATTCAAAATCCCCAAAATTTCCTCAAATTGGCACCCAATTGATATTGAGAACTCTTCATGATATTCCTATAGATCATTTTCAACCATCAATTTGGACTTAGCCCAACCTTAGCCCAACCTAGACCCAAGTCTAGCCCAACACCCCCAAATTAACCAAATGCCCAAAATCCCTCAAATTGAACCTCCAAATAAATTCAAAATCACTACAAATCTTTTCTAAAATACTCATGAAAATCATCTACACAATATTGATCAATAAATTGAGCTCAATGTCATGGCTAACCTAACCCAAACCCAACTTCTAGCCCTTTTGGCCCAAATTGAACCCTTTCACCAAAATTGACTTAGTCATGCCTAAATCACCAAATTGATGACATCACGGCCATTAAACAAACCCTATTGAGCAGTATAAACCCCCCTTAAATAAGCTTGGTCAGCTATGGACCAAGGTTCCCATAATTTAATGGATCTTATCCCATTTATGGGCCTTAACCAAAATATCTCCTCTATCATCACTTGCCATTGATGGTTAACCATAATTAACCCTCCCCGCTGGCTCACCTGACCACCTGGCCCTGCTGGCCGACCTAGTGGATAGAAAATGCCAAAATCGAGAGCCACCACCCCTAAATCAAACCCAATTTTAACTCTAGAGGCCAACTCATCCTAATGGCTCCTTAGAGCTCCTCAGCCCTCCATCTGAGCACCATTTTGCCCAAGCTCTCTTATTTAATCAGCCCCTCCATGGAAAAATATAAGAGAGTTCAAAATCCTTGATGAAACTTTGCAAAAATCTCATCAGAGACTCTGTAAGCATCTCTAAGCTTAATCTAACCCTCTGATTCTCACTGTGAGAGCCCAATTTGGAGCTCAAACTTTCAGCTCAAACCAGGACATCTCTCTAGGGTTCACCAAACTCAAATTAATTGTGCACACACCATACCTAATGCAAGAGGAATTGATTCCCCATCAAACCCCCCTCTGAAACAACCTCTAACCTAGCTCTAGACCAACACCTGAAATTCACCTTGATCAAAAACATCCCTAGACAATTCACCAGGACTTTGAGACTTCATCCAAAGGTTCATTGGATCCAATCAAAGCTATCACAACCATCTGATTGAGGCGTACCCTCTCAGACAAAGATATTGAGCTCTAACCCTAACCCGAGCTTATTTTGATTCTCCATTTGTAATTGCTTGATTTCATACTTGATTAACCATATAAATGTGTTTGTCTTGAGTAAATGAAGGTTTAGAAATAAACCCCATGTGATTTGGTTGAGTCTAGACGAATATCTTAAGGTTTTAGTGTGAACGACTTACGGGTTAGGTCACTTGGGGATGATAACAGAGGGACGTCCGATCGCGCGTTTACTTCATCAATGGAGGAGATCAAGCCGGATAGATACTTGGTGCGTGAACCGCGGGCCGTGCGGAAGCTGAGATGGATGGCGGTGACGAATGGGAGCGTGCCACGTGTGAGTTC